ATTTTGTAAACTGCTAAATGCTATATAAATAGTATACAAGGTTAGCCCAGAAAAAGTCCAACCATTGTTAATATGATGAGAATGGTTTGAGTGACATCGATGTAACTTCACAGCCAAGGAGAGTGGACTGGAATGCACATGTGTGAACAATAACAACTTCACTGTATTAGTTAATGGGGGTTGTAGGTGCCATTGAATGAGCATGTGTATGGTTTGGCTGTCACACTGAAAATTACTGAACAAGTAGAGCAACGAATCTGCATCAGATTTTCTGTTGAGCTTGAACATTCCTCCATGGAAACTATTCAGATGATTCAAAAGGTCACAACTATGGGCAACTGGTGATTGACAGCTTCATCATAACAACACGCCCACTCATGCATCTGTCTGTTGCACAGCTTTTTAGAGAATTAGGAAACATCAAATCACCCAGGTGACTCAGCCTACCTACAGCCCAGATTTGGTGCCCTGTGACTTCTGGCTTTTCCTGAAATTAAATCACCTTTGAAACGAAAGAGATTTCAGATTGTCAATGAGATTCAAGAAAAGAGGATGGGGCAGCTGATGGCAATTGGGAGAACAGTGTGAAGTCCCAAGGTGCCTACTTCGAAGGGGACTGAGGCATCATTGTCCTATGTACAATGTTTCTTGTATCTTGTACCTCCTTCAGTAAATGTCTCTGTTTTTCATAGTACATGGCTGGATACTTCTGGACAGACCTCACATAGTTTTTTGGGCTGAATCCATAATAGAGTGAAAAAGGTTGAGAAAAAATAGACACATATCAGAAAAATAAAAGATGATCATAGCATCTGTGGGTAATAAGGGATGGTATATGAGTGAGTCAGCATAATAGATACAGCTTGAGCTGGACTAGAAAAGTGAGGCTGGCACCCCAGAGCTATACCACCCATAGAGCAGGCCCAGCCCAACGTGGTGACTTGAATTTAAATTAATTGAAATGAAACATGACTTAAAAGTCAATTCCTCAGTGGCACTGGCCACATCACAAGTACTCACTGTTCACGTTGCAAGTAGTAAATAATTGCATGTAGGTAGTAGCTGCCTACCCTACTGGACAAAGAAGATTATAGAACAAGTCCACCATTGCAGACAATTCTATGATATGCAGAGTTCTAAAGAAATGATGAGAGAAAGAGGAGATTTGAAATTTGTTTCAAAGAACAAAAAGAATTAAAAGAGATTATTTTATTTCATAGTGACCATGACTTATAGCTTTATAGTTTTCGATACTTCCCAGGTCATCAGAATTAGCATATATTACTGTAGAAAATTATGCTATTGTTTTGTAATGAGAATATACAGCTGTCTTCTCATTCTAACTCTATTCTCAGCAACTCTCTTACTTACTGTCTCTTCTACAACAGCCCAGTCCTAACCCCGCAAGCTCAATCTTCGTTGGCTTTTGATTTCTTCTCCACTTTTACTATGTTATGTGCTAGCTACCTCATTTCTCAGTAGGTCATTTAATGTGTTATCTTTGATTATGTAAGTTTCAATACACAGTTTGAAATTTAAGTAATTTGAAAAAGAGAAAACTATTATAAATCTTGAGTGCACCAACTATATAAAAATAAATTCATACCATTTAATATACTTTTAATATTCTATATGCTGGAGACTAATTTCTATCACCACTATTCATCATACTTGAAGTACTGTAAAAGAAAATCATAACATTTGTTTTCATTCTTTGACATTTTTTTTCTGACTCTGACTTTCTTGTAGACCAAAACCCAGAAAGGAAGTAAGTCACACTGAGGAACGTGACCACTCAAAGGCAACTTCATTGGGAGAAACCAGAGGAATAGACACCTCAGACTCATTCTCTCCCCTCCCTTCAGTCCCCTGGTGGCTTCTCCCCACAGCTCTGCATTTCCAAAAAGTCCCCAGATTATGCCGTTGTTAATAGTCTGAGGACCATACTTAGAGAACATTGCACTAGAATAACCTGAAGAGCTTTTTAAAAATCATAATACCCAATTAGCCATGCTAATTTCATCAAAATGTCTAAAAAAATTGTAAAGGTTCTAGATGAGTCCAGTGTGCAGGTAATTTTGAGAATCACTGGTATAGACTAAGAACAAAAATAATTAACTGGGAATTCTAAACATATGAATCTAAAATTTCAAGCACAAATCCATTCTTTCTTTTGGTTAAATATCTATAACTTACGAACTTCAGAATAAAATATGTAATATATATGTATGAGCATGTGTGTGTGTTTGTGTACATGGTACATTATATGTGTTTGGTGTGCATAAATTAGTTTTAATTAATCCTTAAAAAAAGTATTTAACATTTTGAAACTCTAATTAGGAATGCATATTCTCTAGGAGGCTACTAGAAGGGCTTTAAATATTCCTGCCTGTATCCACACAAGCAAGTATGTCAATTTGCATAAGGAATATTAGAACTAGTTTTTCACTGGTTAAATGAATGGTGGTCAGGATATGAGGTTTGGCCATAAATATTGTATAACCAATTCAAGTTTCTAGCTAGCTCAGAAGCCCACACAGTCTGCAAGGGCACTCTTATGCCTAGTACTCCACTCATCTTCTGTCCTTCAATTTACAGAGGCTCATATAACCAAATCTGTTTAGATGATTGCCTGATCCTGGTATCAGAACACATATTGTCATACCCGAGTCAAGTAAAACCTTTCACGTACCATCGATGCAAGTTATTGGTCAGAATGCCCCAAAAAGGGTTAAGACTACACTATTTTTTAGGGTTTGTATTTTACCAACTTGAACACTTCATTTGTTCAAGCATGATTACAGAATGGTTTTGCTTTTTTCTTGACCCATCAAGGTCACAGAGTAACCCTGTCTGGAGTTGATGCTCTGTGGAATTGTTTATGTTCAACAGGTGAATGACACAGCCTAACTTTGAGTGTCAGGCCAGCTCCTGGCAACACCAAGGCCTCCCTGCTCCTGCAAAATCAGTCCCTCTTTTATCAGTTATATGGAAACATAAACCAAGGAATATAACCTAATGTGGGATTTCATAAAGACGTCCTTGAGAAACTGACATATGAACTGAGAGTTTAAATACTAAAAGGTCTTCTGTTGCCACAGCCCAGTGGTTCATTTGCTCTTTTCTTCTGTGGTCTTCCAATCACCAATACTATTTCTTCCCACAATTGAATTATGCATAGAAAGCACACATCAAAACCAGCTTCTTGTATGATTCCAAATCTTTGCTAACGTAAGAGCACTCCATGGCTGTGGATTTTCTATGGGTAGTATCTGTTAAAATTTTCTTGTGAGAAAATGTATAATGATGATGATGATGATGATGATGATGCCTGTTCAATTTAAAGGTAAAGTCAATGGTAAATAATGCATACACATAAAGAACTACAGATGTTTAAAGAAACCACAGATTATTGGACAAGAAATAAAATAATCTAATGTTTCCTTTCAAAATTATGCTTCTAACTAGAGTTAAATATTAAAAAATGAGTTGAGTTGAATTTTGATACCTGAAAAAAGGTGAAAAAGAAAACATTTCCTATTTTCCTTTATTTCAAATCTTGTTAGTATAAGTGATTTTTAAAAATGTTTATCCTGCTGCAGAATTGATAAACCCTCCTACAAAATTCATCTGATCAAAATATTCAAGTCTCACACAGTTCCATATCTTCAAAAGACTTTAGGAGGTTAGAGAAAATTAAAGCCTTGGGTTGATGGGGTGAACATCCCTCCTGCTATTAGGCTGAATAATAGATGATGTAAATGAACCCTTCCATAATCCAGTGAAATGGAGGCACCCCTCTGAGAACTGGCTATGCATCTCTACTGGGAAGAGTGTACCCTCATCTTAGATGCGGAGAGCTGGTGAGGGAGGATCTGGATAATTATGCAATGAGTAGTTTGGGACATTTCTTCCTACTTGTGGTTTGGATATTAGAATTCCCAGTGGCATTTTTATTTTAAATATGTAATTCCAAGGACACACTATGGTAACAGTAGAACATGACAAATGGGTTATTTTGCATTTTTCTGGCATCAGTGTACATCTCAAACAGTCATTGTTATTTTTGTTACAAGTTCAGATTTGAAATCAACAAATACCTATGAGGGTCCTGTAATTGGTCGAAAATTGTGCAGAGTGCTTTTACCTCACTACCATGCCACAATGTGATGGAATAAGTAATAAGCTTGGTGTTTGGAAGAAGAGTCAATAAGGGACAATAATCTTCTATACATAAAATTTAGTAAAGTGGAGTCCTGCTGATAGTGATAAGCCAAGCATATGAAACAGCACAGGAACCTCATCTGTGATCTAGAGACAATCTTCAAAGCACATTTAGTAGGGTTCAGAATTACTGCTAATTCATTCAGAGATCCAAACATGCAAATCCACATAGTAGATCTCTTTTACAGATATGGAGTCTGAACACAGTTTAAACGCAAATCAATTTCATACACACTCATAAAAATGTCAGTGTAATTACAGGTTACCAAATCCTCTGCACAGCGTTTAAGAACCAGCCTGAGAACAAAGGTGCTAATCGTTCTCCAAGCTACAAAAGAACACAAATACCTAAAAATCTAATTCTTTCCCAGTACAACATACAGTAGTAGGTATCTCGAAGTCAAAACACTCTTAGACTTCACGTTTCTTTTATACTGCCAAGGATTTGCCAACATATACAATCAGACACTTTTCAATGTTGTACATTTGACTAATTAAAATTTCTACAAGCCAGTCAGAAGAGCAGCCTCAGCAGCAGAGAGGCAGGCGACCCTGGCTGACAGGAATGCCACAGTGAGACAGGATCCTCTGAAACCTCTGTTTTCTTTTTTCCACTGCTCTATTTTGCATATATACAAGTGAATTTGCTCAATAGTTCTGTTTTTGGAAATAATTATTTTGCTCTATATATTTAAAAAGGACAAAAATATGTGAACATTTATTTTGGCTGCTTTATTGTGAGGTATAGGTATTAATATGTCAGATACTATTAGTTGCTATCTGACATACCAAACATAAATAAACAGGGAAGCAGGCTCAAGATTCTCACCAGTTCTGGAAAACAAAGGAACGTGACGGTAACCTGCAAAAGGAATCATATCTAATTAGAACACGAAAAATAAATTAACCAGCAAAGGCCCTTATAGTGCTACTGAGAAAGAATACATCTTTACTAAGCATACCATAAAAACTCTGACTGCATAGTTATGTTCATCTTGTATATTAATTTTCCAAAAAATGAAATATATAAGTTTCCATTCTGACTTCCTACAGAGTAACACTGAGGACACAGCTCATGCCTCTCCACCTTCCAAGTGCAACATCTCCAAAATTAGCCACCACCCTTCTGTGTCAGACTCTGCTCCCTGGGTCCATCTCAGATGGTGTTACAGAAGGAAAGGCACTGAGACGAGGTAATTGGAAGTACAATGTAAATCAACCCACAAGGTGACTGCAATACACAGGCAGCCCTGAAAAGAGTCAAAAAAGGATCATCTTGGGTTCCCAGTCTCTTCTCAGGTAGGAAGAATAAGTCACTGTTTCTCCCTTCTCTTTGATTCCCATTCTTCACGTTTATGGTCATCGTGACCATTCCTACTGAAAGAAAAACTCCATGATCCCCAGAAAGAAATGCTCATACATGCCAAGTTTGTCTAATTAGTCTTCCTAGAGACTCTGCACTTCAATCTCACCTTCCATGTGAGAATATATTTCTGTGATCCCACTGAGAGAAAACATGTGTCAATACATAAAATTTCCATAGAGCTGTCATGGATGGAGCTATTTGTAATAAGTATGTCTTTAGTAATTTCAAGTTATAATTAGCTGTCAATTGTCTTACTTTTAGGAATATTACCTTTGCTCATGCATAGAACTGGTAAAGTATATTGCCCAAGCAATTCATTTCCAGCTATTAAATTTTGATTTTCCACTGCAAAACGTATCAATGCCAACTCTGGCACCTGAATAATAAATGTAAATGTTTCATTCCATCTTGGACTAAAAGCTGAAACATAAAGGAATAGATAGAATTAAAGAATCATAGACTCTATTTCTAGGGAAAAATTCATAATATCTGTTTTTCAAAATTTTTTCTTTAATACTTTAATAACAATAACTTGTGTTTTAGAGCACTTCAATTTTTAATGCACCTATTGAGAAAATAATGACAATAACAATATTTATTGGGTGTTCACTATTGCTGGGCAATGCTAAGAATTTTAGGTAGATAAATTCTACCTAAAGGTAGAATCAAGAGGATCACTTGATCCTCTCATGGACATCATCGGGGTTATTACTATCCACATTCACAGATGAAAAAAACTGAGCCAGAAAGATGCTATATAAATTTTTAAGGGTTTCACATACACAGCCATTAAGTGATAGGTCAAGAATTCAAGCAAATAGAGTCAAAGTTCAGAGCAGAAACGTTTAATCATTATGCAACATGACTGCTGTGTTTACACATTTCATTAACAAAGAATTGAGCATGAAGCAGTAACGTCATTTTTCTATACCAGGTCTTACCATAGACAGAGTGCTCCATGGATAGTTGTTGGACTGAAAGCTAGATATTAAGTGTCAAAAGCCAGCTCTTATTCATTTGTTTGACTAAGTATTCGTTTTAAAAGACCAAAGTTGAATTCCCAGTCAGGATGGTAGCATAGGTAAACATGGCTCACCTCCTCCCACAACCACAGCAAAATCATAACTAAAATAGAGAACAACCATCACACGGAACTGTCAACAATCCAGCTGAATAGAAGTCTGAAAACTACAGAATTAAAGAAGCCACATCCATCCAGACCTGGTAGGAGGAATGGGCTGGTCCCACATTCACATGTGGTGGATAAAAATTCAGGAGGGATATCTCAGGAGCAAGGAGTCCCAGCCCCACACCAGACCCCCCCAGCCCAAAGTTCTAGTGCCAGGAAGATGAGACCCCATAACTTATGGCTGCAAAAACCAGTAGGAATTGAGTCTATGAAAGAAACTTCCAGAGTCCCAAGCAGTTCCTCTTGAAGAATGCACAAACAGATTTACTCAGACTCACTCCCTCTGAGCTCCAACACCAAGGTAGCAGCTTGAAAGGCACAAGTGGCACATAGGGAGGAACTGAAGCATCTGGTATCAAGGCAAGAACCGGTGGACAACTTTCTCCTAGACAGAAAGGGAGGCAGAGGCCATTGTCCCTTTTCTGAACCCTCCTCCCCCAGAACCACAGAGCCAGCAGGCTGGTGCCATATCTGATATTCTATCAACCTGGCTAACACTGTTTGCCTAACCCTGGAGATCCCCAGAGACTCCACCTCACCCAACTTACAGGCCCACCCAAGCTGCCTTTTCATACGAATGGCTGCTCTTGGCTCATGTTTCACAGCTTTCTAAATCTTCTCAAACAAGCCGTGCCAGCCTCAGTGAACCCACAGCCCTCATACCTCTTGTTAAGTGGCTCCAACCTAGGCACTAGCAGCAACCAGTCCAGATTCAGCTTAGTTTTGCCTGGGAATTTCCAAGCCCAGAAAAAGTAGCAGCCATCTCACATTGCTTTATAGCTCAGGCAGAGTGGTCCGGGACCAAACACAGGTGGGGCCTGACTATGGCCTGCACTGCCCAGGAAACCCCAGAGCCTGTACACCCACCCAGTGGACAGCTACAGACCACATTATAACACCACTACCCTGCCCCTACACAGCTGAGCCTCCACAGAAGGCAGAAGTTGGTGGTCAATGGTCACATCCAGACCTTGCAGCTGACTGGTGCAGTAAATCCTTCCCATTTGCTTGCAAATATCAGGCAAGGCTCAACTACAAGAGGAGGGGTATACTCAGCCCATACAAAGAGCACACCTCAAGTACGCAGCTTGGGTGATAGGGGAGGCTGTGTCACTGGGCCTTATGTCAATAACTTTCTTTCTTTGAGTTATATCACCCCAAAAATTGAAGAATCTGTGGCTAATTATACATTATCCACATTTTCTAGGGTACGTCTGTGATCACAAGTGCACATTTACTAGTCAGTTATCCAGGATGCAGTCTATGCCCAGAAAATATTAAACTAATTGACTCATGCTGAAATAATGGTTGTATTACCTTATCCTAAGAAGAAAAGTAACCCCATAAAGGGCCAGGCTTCAGAGTCAGTTCTTTATAGACACTGCAAAATATCTGCACAAAATTCTTATGTTGATCTATTCTACTTCCTCTGTGTTCCTACTTCACTCCATCTAACCTCTCCCTGCCACAAACACACACATCAAATGTATTATATGTGAAAGTCATTTTAGTCATTAAAAATGTTAAACATAATACCAAATTTGATAGTTATGAATGTAGTTTTCCCTAGCATGACCAAAAATAATACTTTTACACCTTATCCAAATGGGATATTTTCTTCCGAGATGCTCATGTTTTTCATTGCACTACCATTACCCTAGTAACTAAGGTGCCTTGGAATCCCTCTTGTCCAGAAATCTAAACTTTTATTGCCTCTGGTCTTCTTTACTTGCATCCTCCATTCATCTTCTGATGCCACAGTCCTTCCTTATAACTTGACTTCTACATCCTCTAAATGTCAAATTATATCCTGACTCTATTTTGTATTTCTCATTGACCTCTCTTACACTTCTTTCTATCTAATCTGCAGAAATAGCAGGGACATAACATTAACAGAGCAGAGTTATATCTCTGCTTAATTTTTTTTTTCATTTTCTATAAAAAAGAACAATTCTAACACCTTGTCATGATTTTCATGATTTTTCATGACTAACCCCAATAGAAGGTTCTTATTTTATCACACTGATCTTTCTCAGTAACCTATATTCCACTTATTTTGAACTTCTTTACTTTTCCTCAGCATGTTTGAATTTTATCCTCTCCATGGTTTAGCACTCATATTATTCCTTTTGCCTTAAATGTTCTTATCCTCAATATCTGTAAAAAAATTCTACTCATTTTCCAAGAACTATCTCCAAATTTGCCCCTACCACTACAATTCTTTGTACTTTCCTTAAAGCACATACAATTCTTTACCATAAAAGTTTTACTTGTAACTCAATTTCCTTACTGAACTGTAAGCTATTTATAATAGAGTTAGTTGGGACATACCTAATAATAAACTTAAGAAACCAAGCTTTTTAAGTTTCTTGATACTTAGCACCAGGCTTTTAACATAATTGGCTCAGTAACATTTGAAGAACCAAATTGAACTTCTGCAAAAGTAGGCCCATAAAACACAAAGGATATTATAGTATTCTAAGAGGTGCCCTGAATAGATAAATGCTCTCTGTGCACTTCACAATGAAGAGTCAAGTAGGAGGACAGACAGAACAACAGATAGATTACTAAAAGCTTCCTAACGTTAGTAGTCAACAATCGCAGATGCTGCTATTGTAATGTGCCTTCAACTCTAAGCGGTACCAATTAAGTCATCACCAATGTCCTTTCCATTGATAGCACAGTATGAGAAGCAAAACTTCCCAAATCTCTTTTTCCATGTTGCACTAGGCATCATGCTGGAGCAGTATTCAGGGAGTAGGCTGATAGTGAGCATCATAGAGAATTATCACCACACAAGAAGAAAAAGACTAATAAAACTTCATGTGCTTTTCTTCAGTGCCATTTAGCCTGGAGCATATTTCCAGACTCTAAAGTAAAGTCCACTATGCTTTGGGAATATCAACTCAAAGAAGATTCTAGACCCAAGGATCAATTCCAAGGTTTCCTCCAAGGTGATCCTGACTAAGGGTCCATCCCAGGAACCTCTATTTTTCTAACTCCCCTAATGACTTCAACCTCAGAGAAGAAATGACAATGTCAGCACTGTGCTGCATAAAGTATTATGAGATGCTGGCACACTGAAAATCTCACCAGAGTCATTTCTTCCATTCCTACTTTTCCCTTCTAGCAAAAATGGCTGAATTATGAATCCAAATATTGCATGAGTAGGTTTCTATGACATCCTTAGCCTGAGTCAGGAGCCACAGACCTTCACCTAAAATAATTCAAGCAGTGAAGTAAAAATGTGTAACTGCTGTATCAGAATAATCAGAGGCTAGAAGCTAATTTTGCAACCATCAAAACATCTCTCTTCATTCAGTGATTTTGGAGAAACATAAAAAGAAGGTAAAAGTGAAAAAAAAGTAATATTTTTTCAGGTCAGATAATTTTTTTGTAGCTGTAATTTGAAAACATATCTAAATAAAACATGAAGTCATTATCAAATTGTTTTTTGCTGTATATAACATTTTCATTACCTTGAACATAATGCAAAGCCTTTGCCTTATGAATAATAAATATATATCAAGACTCTATCAACATATAATTTATAAGCTTTCCAACAAAATGTCTGATAAAAGTTCAATAAAATGTATTAGGAGCTCACCATTTTTTTTAATTACGCGGGTCTGCTGCTTAGATTGATCATCCGGAACACCAAAAATTTCTATAATCACTAATGTGTCGGCTTTGTTAGATAATGAGCGACTACTGGAAGGCAACTGGATACCACTGATCACCTGCACAAAGGTATTTGGAAACAAGAATGTAACAGAATATCAGACTGCATCACTAATTAATGTCAAAATAAAATAGTGTTCTAAAAAAATGACAGATTTGTAAGTCAGTTTCCTTAAAAAAACTGGAAGTGTAAAATAATGCAAAATTTAAATTTTAACTCTTTTATCTTTAGGTATCAATAAATAAATACCAGAAACATGTCTAAATTATTCCCTTTTACCAATATGTGATTATAGTAGAATCCACATTGTCCAGGCTTAATGGCTCAACATGTGGTTTTATTTTAAAAGCATTTGTTATAATCGCTTTAAAAAATGCTTAAAGGCCTTGGTATGGTCACCTTCTACTGTAATTCAAGCTGAGTTATTCTGGTAACATGAACTAATTTCAAATTTATACTGTATATGTACAGCAAAAATTAGAAGCAATATCAATACTACTTCTGAAAGGCAAGGGAAAAAATCTCAACTGCCTAGAAAGCATTTTAACATTGTAATTTACATGTTTAGATAATTAATCACACATTTTCTATTATCCATTGTCTATATTACCATAAGTAACCTGAGTCAAACAAAATCCATCATTTCATATGCATATTAATGACTAGATATCGGGAAAATGCTTAACAAAATGATTAATAATAGTTGTGTTATAAGTCAAGCTTGAAAATAATGTACCTAACTCAAAACTCTTTGTTTGAAGATGACAAAGAGTAAACCAAAAATGCTGAATGACATCATCAAGGACATAAGAAAGCTCATAAAACTATATCTCTTTTGATTCCTAAGTCATGCCCTCCAGAATCTGTGCATCACAAAGTAATCACAAAGCTCCCTAGAATGATCGAAGCAGGAGGGAAGACCCACATGGCTAGAGCAGCAGCTTTCTGGAAAAATTATTAACCCCATCTGCCTCACACTGTGTTATTTGCACCCCTACATGAGACCCTTTATAAAACAAACAGATGGCAATTGTAAACACCTGTGCATACAAGCTATCTTCCATCATTACTTTCTCAGTAAATGAACATGTATGTTCTCTTTATTATTCTCAAAATGAAAAAGAAATCATACATTCAATTAACCCACATGTACTGAGCATGCAGTTTGTGTCAGGCACTGTGGATCAGGATTGAACAAAACACAGTCCTTATCCTTAAAAGACCCTCAGTCAAACGGGAGAGAATGACAAGTACTACAAATAAATTAACAATTATAATACAGTGTGGTAAGTGCCTACTATGTGCATGCATAGGGTGTTGTGAAAAACAGAAGGAAACTACAAAATGAAAATGAAGCATAATTAAGTGTAAGAAAAAACTTCCCCCAAGAAAGTGACCCTTAGTCCCATAAAATAAGTCAGAACACAATAGGCAGATGAAAGATGGAAAAATAATTCAGTCAAAGAAAATAGTGATATATGAAGGTGTCATCATGGACAGAAAAGTCTTCTCTATGGTTAGAGAATACAGTGCAAGGCTGGTGGTGGTCAGACACAGGGTCAGCCAAGACCCTACTAATAAAGCAGTCAGGAGACACAAATAAATATCATGTAGGCATGGTAAGCTTAGCATTGTAGCAAAATCTCTCTGATTAACTTGTGGAAGATGGATGGGGAAGACCAAGACAGGTTACCTGAAAACCCTATAGGAAACCAAAAGAATAGGTGTGATGACAGGTAACAAATTCTTCAAATAAGACTAGCAGCAAATGACGTCAGACCAAGGGAATGGAAGGAAGTCATTTAGGAGTAAGATCCATAGAATTTAGAGATGGATTGGACTTGGGAAGTGAAGTAGATGTGAAAGAGAAGAATGCCTCCTAATTTTTTAACCTGAGCTGAATCAGCAAATGACACTTCATTCAAGGTTTAAATAAAGTATATTCGACTAGAAAAGAATGTTCAGTAATTTAAGTTTGACAGAACAGTGATTAGATAGGTGGGGATTCTGGGTAGTCTATTAAAAATATACTTTTATATTCCCAAAATGAGTCCAGCTTAAAGATTTGAGCATTGTTGGTGGTTAAACCATCAATGTATATAAGAAGACACAAGGAGAACATCAAGTTTGAAAAGAGAATTAAGAAAGTGTTAGGCAACATAAATATTTTAGTGGAAGTAGAGAGAGGAACCCACAAATGAAAGTGAGAAAGAATTGCTTAGGAGGTAAAGAAAGAAGGGAACAGAAGAGCCCCAGAGGCCCAGCAAGGTTTGTGAGCAGTAAGAGATCTTAAGGGGTGGCTGATTCATGCCTTCTTCTCACGACAATGACTAGAAAAATAAATTATTGCTTAAAATAACCAGAGCAAAGCAACTTTTTGCAATTTCTTCATTCATGCAAAAAGACAACAGAAAGGCTTTTTCACATGTGGAAGGATACTGAAATAGCATCCACCTATACTATCTAAAAAGATTAACAGAAATTTAAAAGGTATTAAACACACTCAGTAGAACTCAAAATATTAATGTATACTACTCAGCTCACATAATAATCAAAAACAAAAATTTATTGACCTTTTCAATTTTGTATTAAAATTACAAAAAGGATACCAAAGTTATAATTACATTATAAAGTAAACTTAATGTAAAATACTTCACCAGATTCTAGAAGGAGTGCCAACTAATCGATTTGAGGCTGTATCCAGTGCTGTAGGCAATTTCTACCTATCCACTAGATGCCTCTATTTTGGAGTCACAAAATCCTTAACAAGCAGGAGAAAAGTCGGCTACATATTTTACTGGCACTAGTCCCTGTGGAAGGCAGAATAATTTTTGTACCACTCATCTCTGCCATACTCTCTTCCCACATTAATCTCTAGAAAACAGCTTTTAAAATTCTCAGCTGGGACAAAAGAGGTAGTGTCTGAAGTGGATGAAAAGGGTAGCCCCAATCCTGTGAGTTCACAGCACTAAAAGAAGGAGCCAAGGTGGGAAGTGTTGTGGAAGAAGTCTGCAGGTTCTAGTGTTTCCTGTCCCCTGACATCCACGTAACAGTAGCAGGGCCCAGAGAGAGCCCGTGACACTCAGTCGTGACATGAGACACAATAGAACTGACCATGGACAGCAGTATAAATACCAAAATTCCAGAATAGAATCTGAGATGATTCATACAATTCTAGGAGAAACTACTTAAATAGAAAGAGGGACCAAAAAGACCACACTCACCCAATTTATTTACAAACAACAGGTATAGATACCATCTAAAATAGAATTGCTTATAATTAAGTGAAGACAGAAAGCTAGGGATTTTCAATATTTGGTGATATTTTTATAAAGGAAACAAAATAACAGGTTATAGAAGAATAAGAAAGTTTTTGAAAAGTCTTTATGGAAACAACACATTTTAGAAAACTATGTTTGCTCTCTATGAAATTACATGGGATATAAGAAAACAAAAGATGAGAAATAGGATAAGATGACAGTAGATGGGGGAAGAGTGCTGGGTAGAAGTATAAAGCAAGCAAGAGGAGGTACATAAAGATTGGGGGGGAAAGTAATAATGCAGGTGAAAAATTCACATCTACATTAGAATCACCTACATACAGAATAAAATCAAATACAGAGGAAAAGCAAATGCAGAGGGAACAGGAAAGTGATAAAGTTGACATGAATTAGTATACAGGAACAGAAGACTCTCAAGGAAATCCTATGAACACTGCCTTTTTAGTTTCTAAGTAATCAGCAATATTCAGAGACGTTAGGGGGTGAAACTGTGAACTGCAGAAGTCCGATGCTGAGATTGATGAAAAGTAAATAGCTCCTAGAATTTCCTAGTAAAACTCCATAAAGTTAAGGAAGGAAAAAAGAGCATATCTACAAGGTAATGAATGAGCTGACCACAGGCTTCTCCATCACAATCAATATTAAATGCCTGAAGACCATGGAATAATATAAACAAACCTCAGAGAGCAGAAAGTTTTCACCTCAATATTTCTGTTCACAGGCTGGTAATCATTGATGCACAAAGTCAACAGAAAGACATTTTTAGCTATGGGAGGATGCTAAAACACCAGTCACCTATATAATACCTAAAAAGATCAACAAAAACTTAAAAAGCATTAAAGGAAATCAATGGAACTCAAAGTATTAATGTATACTACCTAACATAATAACCAAAAAAAAAGGAAAAAGTTATTAACCTTACCCTTATCATAAGTGTAACTGGATTGCTGTCTTCTGGTGTTTTATTTGGATTAAAGTCTGTTTCAGTATCTCTTAGGAATTGTGGTTTCAAAATATATCCAGAATTACCATTATCCAAAAATTTCCCATTTTGAATGTCCATAGGCAGACCAGGGGTCTGGAAATTTAAGGCCACTGTGAGAAAAGAAGTATTGTGACATTGTCAGAAAATATAGAGAATAGCTAAAAGAAACAAGTTAATAGATACACTGAAACCTAATCATGGGTTGTATATCCTCAAACATGTTAAAACAAGTCTCATTAGTCAAATAAGTCATGATTTATAAGCATTTCCTCCTGTCATGTCTATATTAACATATGATAGTGAGTTGCAAAGTTTAATCGGTAAATTATTTGATAGTTTTGTGTCAAAAAAACAAAATGCCATACAATATAAATTAAGAATAGCAATGCTGAACTACATCAAATTAAAAAGCTTCTGCATGGCTAAATGAAAAGGGAACTGACTGTATGGGAGAAAATATTTGCCAATGATACCTCGGACAAAGGTTTAATCTCCAAGCCATATAAAGAACTCACAGAACTCAACACCAGGAAGACAAACAATCCAAGCAAAAAATGGGCAGAGGACCTGATTAGACACTTCTCCAAGGAGAACATGCAGAGGGCCCATACACATATGAAAAAAGATGCTCAACATCACTAGCCACCAGAAAGATGCAAATGGAAACTACAATGAGATATCACCTCACACCTGTCAGAATGGCTATCATTAGTAAATCAACAAATAGCAAGTGTTGGAGAGGATGTGGAGAAAAGAGAATGCTTGTGCACTGTTATTGGGAATGCAGACTGGTGCAGCCACTATGAAAAACAGTATGGAATCTCCTCAAAATATTAAAAACAGAACTGCCTTACAACACATCAATTTCACTGCTGGGAATACAGTTAAGAATCCTGAAACACCAATTCAAAGGAACCTATGCACCCCAATGTTTATAACAGCACTATCTATAATAACCAAGTATTGGAAGCAGCCTAAGTGCCCATCAGTAGAAGAATAGATTAAAAAACTGTGATTCATCTACATAATGGAAATCTATGCAAGAGAAAGAAAGAAGAAGGAAGTCATATCCTTTGCAACAGCATGGATGGAACTGGAGACTATTATGCTAAGTGAAATAAGCCAGTTGGTGAAAGACAAATACCATATGGTATCACTTATAAAAGGAATCATTCTAATGAACAAAATAAACTAATGTGCAAAACAGAACCAGAGACATGGAAACAGGGAATAGACTGACAGCTGCCAGGGAATAGACTGGTAGGGGGAAGGGTGGAAAGAAGGGGAATGGAGTAGTCAGAACATGTATGAATGACCCATGGACATGAACCATGGTATGGGGATGGACTATAGGAGAGGGGGATGGAGCAGGACAAAGGAGAGCAAAGGGGGAAAACTGGGGAAAACTGTAATAGAATAAACAAGAATAAAATAGAATTAAAAAAAAAGAATACCAATGTATATGTCAGATAACACCCAGTAAATATGAGAATAAAGAAAATTAGTACATTAAAAGCAGCAAAGGAAGACACCAACTATATGACAAACTTTCAGGTCCAAAGAAATACTGTTACCACTTAAGAAAATGAGAAAGAGGCAGAGCAATGATGTGTTTAAAATATAGAAATATATCCATATAAGCTGGTAAGTAGCCACTATATGCACTACCCCCATCCACCCCCTACACCCCATCACCACCATCCTGACCTTACTCTCCCCCGTCTGCAAACCTACAGGCCTTGTCACAATCCAGCAGCAAAAGGGTTAACACCAGGTACTTTCTGACTGCTTGGTGCCAGTGTTATAATATCTGATTGATTTGGAACAGGAAGACTCTGATAAGAACAAATAATAAAGCTATGTAATTTAAAACTTTTCAACTGTGAATGCAAAAGTTGGTGTAAAGTATAAAAGGTAAAGGTTACTTAATTTGAAGAGGCCCTCAGCACATCTTCCAAGCAAAGGACTCGATGTTTACTCTCCTCCTACATAAATATTGGGTTCCTTTTTCCCTTTCCTACACTTCCCACATTAACTATGCATTTATTCCATGCCCCAACTTTCACCTTGATTTACCCTCTCCAACATGTTTAGCAATCACTTCAGCTCTTGAAATCAATGATTCATCATTATTGCCTCACTGAAAAACACCCAGGTCCAAAAAAAGTCTTCATAAGAAGTTCTTTTCAAGAATTTTTCATTAATTTCTAAAATTCATTTTATCTTATCTTTGCAAAAAACTCAATATCCTATAAAACATACCCATTTGACAACCTACATTCCAAAATTGTTGAGGATTAAAATTAGAAGAGTCTGCTCTTGTTGCTTTGGGATATATTCTGGTAATAAACTTGTTGTTGTGAAGAATAAAATCACTGGCTAAAAAATAAATTATTAAAAAACATTATGAAATTTTTCAAATAAACTCAATAAACTACTTTATAATATATATTACATAACTCTACAATAGTTTCAACAATTTGTGTATGTATTGTCTTAACAATTCATGTAAATCAAAACGTAGCCATGCCTTTATGTTTGACATTGTAATTCACTGTCATTGAGAAGGTAATAATAATTTATTATACAATTTAATGCACACTAATCATTCACTTGAGAAAAATGGTTAGATAACATACTTTGTGTTTTTTTACATTCAAATTAATTTCACTTTGACATAAAGATACATAAAATTCCAAAATAAAATACATCCGTTTTTTTAAGTATGAGTTGTAGTACTCCACATTTTGCCTTTTCTTTGTTTTTAACACTAGGCCAGAATCACATATAAGTCATATAAAGCTATATAGTGTCATAAAATTAACTCAGTTGAATATTTAATCAATTATCAGAGTTGAAATGGACCTTAAAGTTGTATAGTACAGCTGCCAATGCTGACCACCACAATATCTTCCCCCCAAATCCGTTCATTCATTTACTCTGTTTGCATCTTTCCATTGAAAGAGACCATGCTACCTACAAATACTTCTCATTACTTCAAATGTTTTTCTTACTGAGCTAAGATCTACTATGCAATCTATTTGAGTTTCTATATATATTCTTTGTTTCAACTATATATTCTTTATAAGTTTCTATTTTTATATATTATATCTAAACCACCTAAGATGCAAAACTAATTTATACTTGTTACCATTGGACATCCCCTCAACGTTTTAAACACACATTTATGTTTCTCCAAGGTTTCTATTCTTTCGCTAGGCAGATCCCATTCTCTCAGCCATTCCTGCTAACAGGGTGATGAGTCAGGATAAATGGTCAATGCCTATGGCCCATTATACTTGCTAGTTAAGCTAGAGCAGAATCATTGCCCCCCTCACCCTGAATGCTATTCTTTAGGAGGCATTATCAAGTAAAAAACTAGTTACTGAAGTAAATCTTAATTACAGTTAACCTAATCAGCTCTCGTTTTTAAAAGTTATGCGCTCCTGAGACAGAGTGTATTTTGAAGCTACTCGTATATAAATGCACCATGTGTATCCTAGTCTCGTACTCCCCCATTCGGCTCTAAATGGGATGCTCATCTTTAGGTAAACGTATACTCTTCTGGGTCTTAATTTTTCCCATCTACAAGGTGGTAAATATGAATAACCACTAAAGAATCTTAACATAATATGGTTTTGTTCCTTCTGAGGTCAACCTTTACAAATTAAAACAGGCTGCGTTATTACAAATGTAATTTATGTTTTTATATAATGAAAAATTGAATTTAAAAAATAAATAAAACCACATATAATCTCTTCACTCAATTAATAACCACTGATAATCTCTTTCTATAAATCTTTCCATTCTTTTGTCATATGTACAAAACTTATTTTAATTGAATCATATTGTGTATTCCCTTTCATGAATGTCCATTTTTTTCTTTCTAAAATAAGGTGAAAATAATTTCACTTCAACAATATTCACTGACTATATTATTTTAATGACTTAAAATATTTATATGTATGAAAAGTTGTTTCTTATTTTTCCATATTGTAAACCTAATTTTTTTTAGTAATGAACATCTTTGCAGTACAAATTTGCCCACATCATTAATTATCTACTATTGACTTTGGGTTCAAGAAAATTATTCTATACTCTTTCCAAAGAGGTGCTACTCTTATAGTTTATAACTCTACTCAGAATTACCCAGTCCCTTTCCATAGTTTGAGAACATGCTTATTATAATGAAAGTGAGGGAATTATTACTATTTTTGCTGCACCCAAAGGTCCCATCCCCATGAACAACAGCAGGAATCATTCAATTAGTTTAAAAGATGGAGACTAGTAAGGTAGATCATTCAAGCTCTGACTCTGCTGCCAAGACTTCACAGTAAAAAAATACATATTTTATATCACAACCCAAACACACACAACATAGATTATAAAGAAAACAATACTTATTCTTACTGCACACAATATACTGCATTTTATTCTATTACATTACATTCTATTATTTTAACTGTGGTCTTTTCTTACTGAATTTATTTGTGTTCACAAACTTCAGTTTAAAAATAAAAGCAAAAAGAGCCCTGAAATATCCAGGGTCTCGCTAATAGACAGTTTAGGGAGATAAGCAAAAGTATATCTCCAAACCCTTGGGTACTAGTGGCCAGCTAAATGAGTTTAACTGACAAGTATATCATATCAGCATCTGTACTTCCAAAAGCCAACAGCTTTTATCAAGTCCATTGCAGCTGCTGATTTTCATGCCATGGTCTTTTTACACAGTATGTCCAATTGCAATTTCTCAGAGGGACTTGGAGAGTCACCTGACTACTGAGTTAATGACCCATCCCTTTTTAAGTTGAGGATATTCCCCACCATACAAGTTCAAGAAGATGGTAGGGTCTGCTTCCCATGCTCTTTCTCAGGCTTTGTTGCATCTTGAGCCCTACCAGAAAGACGAACTCACCTGAGATTTAGAATCTGAAGACAGGTAAAGGAAGATGCAGAGACAAATGTCCCTCTACAGGTGTGTTGTGGCAGTGCACACTCTGCACAGCCAGCCATCTGGTGGTCTGGCCTGGAGGGGTGCGATTTCTTCTCTCTTCCTCACCTCAGACATACAGCCTCCACCTTAACTCTACCTCATAGATGCTTGCTGAGTCCACAGAGCGCCCCCTGGCTCCACTCTCACTGCCAAAAACCTTATCTCTTCCCTTGCAAGCAGTCTCATTCTTAGGCTACTGTCGGAGGCATCTTTCAGAAACACACCAGGGATCATGTAACTGCTGAGACTTCACTCTTCATTCATCCTTGGTTCTGGGACAAAGTTCAAGTTACTTGGAACTTAGCTCTGCCTCTCTGTGCAGTCTTGTCACTCTCTGCTCTGCCATATAAATTACACACCACAGCCCTGCCCACCAAAGGGTCCATACTAGACATTCTTGGTCAAAATTTCATGATTTAAAGAGGTTGATTATTGGTTGAGTTCTGTGAAATAAAACTCAATGTAACTGTAGGCACATAACCTTTTTAAAAATTATGTTAAATATGTTGAAACTTTATGAGAATGTACTTTTTATAAATATCATTGACCCATCTTGACACCTTAGCAGTGAATATGATATTTAAACACTTTAACTGTTTGAATCATAAGAATTTACCTTTCATCTTGGAAAGTTTTCGAGCTGTTGACTCTCCAATAGAATTGCTTTCATTAAATTGTTGATACTGTCTTGAATGGTAAAAGTTTTTGAATTTTTCAGCTTTAGTATAAATGACAAGATCAGACAGGGCCGTAGCCACTTTTACCTTCATGGTATAAGAATAAAATGCAGTAATTTCACATTTTTGCACTAATAATTTGAAAAGTTTCTCTTCCAACAAAAAAAAATGCTTTCAAATCAATAATTTTGGCCTTTTTATAATATTACCTCCTCAAAAGTTATTTGGATTAGATCAATGTGATTACTGTAATATTTAATGTTAATATGAAACAGCCCAAACCTAAAATCCCAATTAATGTAACAAGTATTGAGGATGGCAATTGTTTTTATTTCCTTTTTTCCAAAGACCCCAGCTTATTCTCATAAATTTTATAAATTTAGGAATTTTAGTCACGAATAAGTCATATTTCCAGGATGATCTAACATTTTGGAGTAACTTATATGGTATGTTGTACATTGGCTCCTTTGCAGCCCTGCATCTATATTCTCTACACTTCTGCTAGCCCTTTCCCAAGTGTTGTTTAGAGAGAACATTTCTGGCTCATGCTCATTCTATGTGCATGTATAATATGTCCTGTACCTGACTAACCAAAGCTTTGCCTTCTTATTTCAATAGCAATTGGTTCGGGTATGTGTATGTAACTGAGTCATAGCCAATGTGCAAGAGAAATTTGCTTGGTCAACTGAGAGATAGGTTTTCCACTGGATTCGAAACTGAAAGCATATACAGCTTTGCAAAGTCTTGCACCAATATAGAGAAAGTGAGCCTAAGGTTCAGGAAAAAAATAAAGTTCTGTGGATTTTGTTTCAGACCCTATACCTGAAAGTTGAATCCTTGTTCTTAATCTTTTCATTTATGGAAGTCAATTAGTTAATTGGGCCAAAAATTAATTAATTTTACTTAAACCAATTAGTTTTGTGAAATTGCAACCTGATACACCTTCTTATGTTATATTATTTTGTATACCTATAATACTGTATTTTATAAACAATTATTTTCAGTGATTGCTGGGAGAAGGGGAGTATAAGGGGGCTAAATGGAAATGGAAAAAACACAATGAAGATTAAATTTTAAAAAATAATGATTTTCTTGTCTCTGACAATATAATCTCTTTGAGAGCAAAGATATTATGTTTGTATCTTTCATACACTGCACAATGCCTAGCACATAAGAATACATAATATTTATCACCATATAAGAAAAATATAAAAACAAACAGGAAAAGAGATTACTTTTTAAAAAATTTTTTCACTGCTCATTTTTTACAAAATAGTTTAAATGGCAGACTGTAGTTTCTATAAGAAGGAGATTTTTTTCCTCCAAAAAAATTTTTAATTCTCTACCAATAAGAAAACAAGATAGATTTTCAATCATTTGTAAGATTTTCTCAAATAATAATCTCACCTTATTTTTCCTGAAAAGTGGCAATTTAACTATATTTCTTGACTGTGTTTCCTTTTCTGAACTGACTTTTAAAATATCTGGTGACTCTGATGATTTGTCTTTGTCCTCTTCCTCTTCTTGATCTATCTCTTCATATTCGTCATATTCCTCCACTTGACCATGCTTATCAGAACCTTTCCTTGCATGGGTCTCCATCAAGGTTCCTATTTTCTTGTTTCTAACTAATATTCTGAATTTTAATGCCTACAGGAACAATTTAAAAGACAGACACTATTACACATTTACAGATAAATTTACATTTGTAACAGGCATTGAAAAGTCTTTCATCATATTTTCAAGTAACTTGCACTAATAAGATATATAAGAGCTTCACCATTTTCCATACCTCTATAAATACTCTAATAGACACTTTCCTCATGAGATTTTTTACTCATTTAAATAAGGGAAACTGTAAAAAGGGATATTCAAATATCATAATACTCACTGTTCTGTATCAACGTGATAACATGTCAAAACTATACTATTTGTTGTTAGACAACACTATCATGCAAAAAAAAGCTCATTTATCATCTGATAAAAATTAGAATAAATAAAGAAAACTAAAAAAGAAGGGCCAGATAGAAATGAGGAAATCCTCAAGAATGTGGTATTGCAGAAGAAAGTGTTTAAGGAAAAGAAGGAGGCATTCACAGCATGAATGACGTCATGGGAAAACAAGTCAGATGAAGACTGAAGGAGGTCTATTAGAATTTATCATTAGGAAAGTCTTTGGTGACCACATGAGATATTTACTGTGATGCAGGTGGACGAGGAAGCCTGATTAGGTAAGTTATGAGATGAGGAAATGGAAATTTGGGTTGAGACAAGAAATAACAAAATAAAGAGATAGCTAGAGAGCAAACTGAAATCCTGAGGGTAGGGTGAGGTGATTTTTTTAAAACCAAATACTTGAGTATTCTCAACTGAAGTTGAAAAGTGGCCCATAGAGACAGTTAAATGGAAAAGAGCAGATTAAATATAAGGGGAAGCCTGCCACCCGGGTGCTGAGGTATTGGGCCTGGACCCTACTTATAGATCTTCGCCTCTTTCTTACCCCATTGCCTATAAAACATACCAAATTCCTGCAACCTGATATTAATTGACCTGAAATTTTGTACTCATGGGGATGACACACAATAAAAAATGTGGGATTTTACATATATCTCTATATATTCCCTTTTTCAAAGTATATTCACCTAAATGTTCATAGAAACATTTTCTAAGCAATACATTGCAAAAATACCTCTTTAAATGATTGAATCTAAGCATTTTCATTGATCTCTAGCCCAGCATCATGAGCCAATATAATAGTGACATATATTTTCTTTTGTTCATAACTGGAGCTTCTCAGACAAAATGTTACCTCTGGTGAAGGTAGTTCATGTGCATAATCATCAAGCACATCAGAAAGCAAGGTATCTCCCAAAATAGACTGCAAATTGTCTGCCATCACCTCTTGTTGGGAAGGGGAGCAGTGATTTTCTAAAGAGAGCACCACTGGGTAGTCAGATGTCTAAAAAATTAACCATTACTATAGTTATTTGTCAGAACTCCTCAATAACTTAATACAATTAATAGAAGCACTTAATCTATTTTAGTACTTACTCTCAATGCACCTTTGCAAAATAATTAAATGTTCTTTAAACTGAAAATACTTTTGAATTTGACAAAACAGGAAACATCAAATCCATACAAAAAAGAAAATTATTACTATTTGCACTAGAAGAATAAAAAAACAGCTAAAACATCCAACAGTGGGTACTTATTTAAATAAATTATGGCATACCCACTTAAACTAAGGAATGATGTACATCTGTTAAGAACAAGGTCTCCTATATATACTACTATTGAAATTGGTCTATAGTAGAGTCTTATGAAGAAAAGCAAGTTGCCAGAGAGTGATTCTACATTTTTATTTTTCAAAGTACATATATATGTGTTTATTTAGATGTTTTTAAATGTGAGGAAAACACTTCAACACTAATAGGGAAAATGTTAATTTTCCACTTTTTCAGTTTTGAATTCTAAAATCAAAACCAAAAATAAAGATGTGTTCACTTTTTAATAATATAAAGGATATGTTAAATAAGGATGACTCTACAAAGTATTTTCTGCCCCTTCTTACCACTGTAAATTTGATATTCACTACAAAATACAGAACAACACTCATTTTGGGATCTTATTCAATTATTCTGTTTCCTTATATAATCACCAGGACACAAATTTACCAACTTATAAACAAGCCAGGGAATTACAGAAGTCTGCTGCATCATCCTAGACATTTGAATAGGGGATATAATATTATACATTTTTTTAATGTATGAGTATTTTAGTTTCTCATGGCTGCTGTAACAAATTACTGTAAACTTGGTTGCTTGGAGCAATAGAAATTTATTCTCTCACTATTTTGGAGGCTAAAAATTTAGAATCAGTTTCACTGGCTAAAAATTACTTCAGCAGACTCTAGGGCAGATCTGTTCATTGTCTCTTTCAGCTTCTGGTGGTTGCCAACATTCCTTGGCTTATGGCCATATGGCTGCAATTTCTGCCCCTCATTCACATCGCCTCCTCCTCTGTGTGCATGGAATCTTCCTCTATATCCCTCTTACAAGGATATATGTGATGGCATTTAGGGCCCACACAGACAACCTGGGATTTTTAAAAAATCTCCTTATCTCAAATTTGTAATGTCATCATATCAGCAAAGACCTTTTCCAACTGGAGCGACATTTACAGGTTCCAGGAATGAGAACCACATTTCTTCAAGGGCCCATATTCAGCCTTCTACAATATGCCTTCTTATATATGCCCACATACACATACATATGTATAGACTCAGTTAATAAGAGAGAACATATGAAATTTTTTCTACAAAGGAAAAAGTGATTCTGAGACTAGGCAAAGTGAGGGCCTAGATGATGAATTTCGTAATCAAGCCCTGACTTCACTCACTGGGGAGAGCTCATTTTTTTTCTTTTGGCTTCTGTGGTATTCTTTTGCTCAAACTTCTGGAAAGGTGCTCTTGTCTTTTATCATCCTTGACCACATCTGAAGTAAGTGTTGAGGACTTTGCTTTCCTTGCAGCTCACTTCCTGACCCAGATTTGCTTCAAGGCTCACCTAAGTGTCAGACTTGTGTTTTGTTTTGCTTTTAGAAATATAATTACCTTAAAAACTTAGTTTTCTTATATGTTTGCTTCTAGTATGTTACATGTGCCAGTCCCTATACCCAAAGGTCTTTCTCAATTATAGTTACCAAGTCTGTTTTCTTTCATTGCTCTATCTTTCCCAAATTGATGGTAGAAAGTTCAACCTTCAATCTAATCTTTGCTGCAAAACTGCTACACTGTTTAATTGAGAATGCACACTGATAGTTGCTCAAGGTCTTTTTTTCATTCTGTCTCTTTTTCTTTGGGATCTTAGAAGCTGTAGAGGTGTCCATCCTTGCAAGGCCTTTGAATTTTAAAATTGTCTCTATTTCCTTTATTTCCTTGGTTGCCCACCTTGGATGAAGTGAGAGAATTTGCTATACAAATATTTGGAAAAAGTGTTTCATATTAAGGGTTAATACTGCAAGTGCAAAGGCTTCAAAATGTGTCTATAAAAGAGTAAGGAGGCCAGAACAGACAAGCACACAAGGGAGAAAGAAGAAAAGCTCAGAGATGTGAGGGAAAACAGGGAATGTAATGTTTGGGGAGTCACAGTTCAGATTTTAGCTTTGTTATGAATGGGACTGAACGTTTTGAGAAGGAGAATGACATGACCTGACTTACCAAAAAGTCACTCTGGGTGATACATTGAGATGAGACTGTGGGGAAGAAAAAGAGAGGCAGAACCATTGGATAAGAAGCCATCACAATAATCCATGTGAGAGGAGATGGTGGCTGACCAGGACAGTGACAGTGAGAATGAGGAGAGATTAAAGTCAGTATATATTTTGAAAGCAGAGCCGAGAGGATTTGCTAAAGAACTTATTAAGAGGTTGAAGACAAGGGGCAGAAGATTAAAGTTGACAACCATGACTTATTTTAGGCTTGAACACATAGAAGTTCCAGTGAAAATAGGAAGAGCACAGAAAGAGTAGCACTGGCAGAAAGAGGAACATCTGGAGCTTGATTCTGGACACATTACATACGCCAATTAAATATGCAAGTAGAATGTCTGTTGTTTTCTGTATTGGTGTAGAGGTCAAAGGGGGAATTTGGGTAAAGACATAAATTTAGAATCATTAGAAATTATATGTTCAAGAGAATCAGTGACATACATCAATGTTTTAAGTTAAGATAGAAATTTTATATTTTGTGAATATTTAGTACTTTATACTCTATTTCTAATAAATTTGATTTAAATTTGTGATTTCCAGTTACATTTATATTTACAGATAACATGCTGACCTGTTAAAGAGAACTCTGAGTTTATCAAATTCATAAGTTTGATTTATAAATATGCATTAATTTATTAAATACACATTAAGTATTCAGTAAGATTTTGTTAAATCTCTTCAATTTCACTACAATGAAGTACTTAAGAAAGGAATCAAATATACTAACTTAACTAAAGCAATTTAAAATATCTGAAGGTGCTTACTGAGCCAAGTGTGTGAGTGGGACCAAGTATTGCTCAAAATTGAGTGACTGTTAAAACCCGCTCAATTTATAGAGTAGGATTTGTAAGCTGACTGTAAAAGCTCAGAAAGACTAAATCTCTAAATCTGTCACTTCAATAATTGAGTAGTAATTTTAAAATCCAAATTAAACTCCTAAACATTTTTGCTATATAAATAGTTGCCCCATAATCATTAAACAATGTCAACAATTGAGATAACACATTTTTGACACATTTTATTTTTGTTTCTTAAAATTAAAATAGTTGAATAGTGGTAAAATATTTACTATTATATAAACCTACTGTTATTTAAAATAATTTTTGCATTATTACCATAGTCACATTAATAAACATATATTATGATGCAATAAACACCTATGTTATGTATATTTTACAATTAAACAAAAAGTTCCATGAAACATGTACATATTACCTGAGATTAACTTTTATAAATGTACATAAATTTCACCGCCTACTAATGGATCATGACCCACAATTTAAAATATCACTAATCTAAAATAAGGGCAAAGATCATGGTTTTTAAACACTTGACCTATGTTTAAATAACTATAATTTAATAAAAGTATGCACATACTATGAATGCATATTTGTGTATGGCTTGGATAACAGTTTTGAACAGGAGCTTGCTGGTGAGCGTATAACCATGGTATACCACAGGTTCATTCTGTGACCCGTCCCAGCAATCAATTTCCAGACAGCGGCATCCTTTCACCAGGGCACTAGCAAAATTTAAACAAAATAAGTTGTCATTCTTGGATCAGTAAAACTGTCAAACTATTCTAAAGACTATTTGTAATTTTGCAATAAATTTATACATGAATCCATGATAATGGCAAGCTGTTGTGTCGAACTGGTCACCCTTTTCTACTCCTTCCCTGTGAGCATGGCTGACGTGGAACTACCGCATGCAACCACAGCCCCAGCAGCTCCAGGAAGGCGCCATGGGCGGGGCTTGGACTACAGATCCTGCCCTGTCTGCGGACTCCTTGTGCTTCAAGTTCTCGAAGTATCACAAAAAACATTTGATATCCAGTTCACTATCAATACATACTTACCCGTGTTTATATTAGGGGGCAAAAATGAGGCATATCAGGATGCAAGAAGAAAGTGGAAGGCAGACAGGAATGATCTGCTAAACACAATCTTGGGAGACGGATAAATGAATGAAAAGAGGCCGACTTGAATGTTAGGATCTTGGAATTGATACTCATGCCTCCAGAAGGTCACAAAAGGCCCTTGCCATACATGGAGCTATTTTTTCCCATAGAACACCAAGTTTGCACTTGCTTTCCAAAAAGAGTATTAATTTATCCCATTGTCTCTAAGTCAGTGGTTCTCAGTCAGGACAATTTCGCCTCCTAGGAAACACTGGGGAACGAATGGAGACATTTTTGGTTACCGTAACTGTAGGTGGAAGAGACATTTGCAACTGGCCTCTGGTGGTGGAGGCCAGGAATGCTGGCAAACAGTCGACCACTCTCAGGACTAAGCCTCCACAACAAAGAATCATTTCATATAAAATGTGAAGCATTTTAGAAACCTTGCCTGGAGCCATAAAAGCCTGGAGAGGAGAGTGCAGTCCTAGCACCAAGTATTTGATGTAGAATAAGTAATTCTTTGCAGTAGAAATACCGAGTATCATATAAACCACATGCAAAAATATACTTTCAGATCCAGTACTTCTTTGGGGATCATTTTAGTCAACTTTTTAGGGAGACGACTCAAGCAGTATTTAGGTAGGAGTGTAACTGAGAAAAGATAAAGCAATTATGACACTGAAGTCAAGGCGTTGAATTCAGGGGGAAAATTAATTTATGTTCCCTTGGACAAAAGATGGAAAGGAGCTGAGGTGGTAGGGCATTAAAACGGAAGGGGATCAATAAATTTCATCTATGTTGGAGGCTTCACTGAAACAATATAAAGCTAAATGGTTAATAAATGCTTTTTGGAGGTTTTTTGGAATTTGCTTTTTAAGACCATTTTGTCTTGCTTCTTAAAATGCACACTGCTTTATTCAGGCACGTAGAAACATGCAATACGATGTACAATTTTAGAGCTTTTTAGCACATTCGTCCCTGGGTTGGAGGATTGCACCTAGAACCTCCTTCTAAGTCTTGTTTGACCCATTGATATTTTTATGAGTGAATAAGGTGGCTGCCTAATGTTAGTCCCAGATTGGGCTCTATGTGTAGAAATCATACTAAATATATTGCTTAGGTTGTATATTTCTTTTTGTATTTAGAGTTTAAGTTGTAGAATAATCAATATCTACTTGTAAAGTTTGTTAATTGCCATGAAAGAATGTCTGCTTTACTCTCCTCTTAGTAGACCATCAAAGTGTGTTGTCTTGGCTTTTTTGTCAATACAGAATATAAGTTCTCTGTGGTGCTAACAGAAAATAATCTTGAACTCTCTGCTGAGAAAACAGAAGACAAAAAACCTACCAAAACCTCAGCTGTGGAAGAAAACTTTTTTTTAAGATTTTATTTATTTATTCTTAGAGAGGGAAGGGAAGGAGATAGAGAGAGAGAGAGAAACATCAATGTGTGGTTGCTGGGGGTTATGGCCTGCAACCCAGGCACGTACCCTGGCTGGGAATCGAACCTGTTACACTTTGGTTCGCAGCCCGAGCTCAATCCACTGAGCTACACCAGCCAGGGCCAGAAGAAAACTTTTCATGAAGGACAACCAACATAATAATTCTTGCTGCTACTCTAGAACCATTAACTAAAGTAATACATTTCACCGCAGAGTTACTTTGCCTCATGTTACCCTAGGTTATATTGTCTGTACAACTCATTAGTCCCTAAAAATATCAATTTGTTTACTTATTTATTATGTCTATTTCCATGAACAGATGATGGTGGCACCTGTAAAAATCTTGCCAACAACTGTATCCTCAACTGACTGGCTAACAGGACGTCTGGTATTAACAGTATAGTACATTGTAGAATCCAAAATTGGAAATGCAGCATATATTGATTTTAATCAATGTAAATAATTTGATACATAATTCTCTGTATATTACTATCCATAAATGCCAAATTATAAAATATACTCTATTGTTTGCTTTACTCATAGTATTGTGTCCTAATGTCTGAGAATTTGTTTTAAACATGTATATTTTTTAAAATCTGGAATGTTATGATTAACTAAATAAATTGTCTTCTTCATATGTTTACTATAAGAAGTATTAAAATTATTCAGGAAACTTCAGAGGGCCAGTAACTGGGGAAAGAAAGTCATCAGGCAGAATTAGAAGGAAAGCATATGATACTTATACATAGAATAAATTACATAGTCACCCAATGGTTGGATCACCAAAATATGCACAAATCAAAATTGTTCTTCCCTGAGACTTGACTTGGGGTGGTGAACACACAATATACAGATGACATATTATAGAATTGTACAACTGAAACATATAGTTTTATTAACCAATGTCACCCCAATAAATTCAATAAAAAAGAAATTGTTCTTCCCTACATGTTTGTTTAACATGCATAGCCTGTTGTTACTGTGAATTACTACCAATGGAGTTAGATAGCAGCAAAAACTTCCAAGTGTTTTTAAAGGTAATAAATTTAAAAATTAAAATAAATACCTTACATATCCCCAAACATCACTTGGTCCCACTAATTGGTCAGATAGCAGGTATGTATTATGTGAACTTGAAATAAAATAATCTTTTAATGGATGATGCATGTCTTGATAAACTTTTCCAAATTCATTATTAAATACTAGGCAGTCAGATGAACACAGGTATCTTGTAAAACCTTCAAGTGACATCTGGCGTGCTTGCTTAACTAAAAAATAAGTAAAAGGATATAGTAATATCATTAGCAGTATAAAATTTACATCTCACTTTAAAACTTATTCAGTAGTACACATAGTTCTAAAATATTCTTTTAAATTAATATGAATACTGTTTTTAATTTTTCTTTGAAAACACATTTTTCTAATCAATACCCTTAATTCTTCTGCATCAACATTCAAGTAGAGAATTTATCATCTCTGATTTTTTTAATGCTTTGAAAATATATACAAGAAAAGTATAAATGTCATTGATCAGTGAATGTCCACAAGCTAAAAGGCTAGGTCACCAGTACCCAGGTCACAGACCAGAACACTCCAGCACCCTAAAAGCCTCCCTCCTGCTAACTTTTCATCTCTCCTCTCACCCACCCAAGGTAGTCAACGGTGCGGCTTCTAACAGCATACATTAGTTTTCTCTTGTATTTGTGCCACACAGGAAAGATCTCATACAGTTTGTAGTTTGCTCAACGTTGTTTCTAAGATTTATTCTTGCAGTTGCATTTAGTTAGACGTTGTGTTCCCATTCTGTATGGTATTCTATTGAGTGAGTACACCACATTTTATTTATCAATTCTATATTTGATGATCATTTAGATAACTTTGAGGATAGGGCTATTGCAAATAGTTTAGCTATAAACAATCAATGTCTGTCTTTTTGCACAAAGGTGTACACATTTCTGTTGGGTGCATGCCTACAGATGGAATTGCTGGGTCATTTACACATTATCATCTTTAGTAAATTGTCTCTAAGCCTTTATACACAGTATCATCTATACCAAAATTGTCTATTTAAGCAGAGCATTGGTTCTGGAATCAGACAACTTGGGTTAATCCCATTTACTTGTTATAGAATGAGTATGTTAGTTAACTTCTCTGTATTTTTGCAATTATAGAAATAATAGTACTTATCCCACATATTAGGTCTAAGTTAATTGCTATTGCTTTTGTTGTTGATAATTCAGTTCCTCTCAGAATAAAAGCTGATATATTTACTTTAAACTAGAGAGTATGGTCTTTAGCAAAGAATTTTATTTCCAGGAATTTATACTCTACATATAGAAACTGAAACAAATGTATGCTCACACCAGTATTATTTATAAAAGCTTAATATGAGGAAGAAACAAATTAAAGCTCAAAGTATGGTACAATACTAAGCAGCCTTTAAAAATAATGTACCAGAAAAAATATACAGAGACATCATAAATGTTTAGGCTATCATAAAAGCAAAAAAGCCAGATTCAAAAATGCTATTACAATTTAGTTTTTAAAAATGGAAGCTAGAAGAAAATACATAGAATATTTATAAGCATCCAAATTTGTATTTCAAAGCAACGCAAATGGATGAGAATGTGGGGGCAAATGCATCATATATTGCGATCGTCACAATCTGCATAAATCGATTCCTTTTCTCAGTGCAACTAGCAGTGATTGGCTGAGAGCCCTTTTTTACCTATTAAATAATTAAGTAGATTTCTTTGGTAATGGAAGGGAAAACAGACTCACTTTGTGCCCTTAAAAACTACTGGATAGAGATAAGAATTAATCTCACAGGTTTTTAAAAACCTTATTTGGTACATGTTGCATGCTAATATGGGATGAGATTAAGGAGCTTGGCAGCATTTGGGACTATAAAACCATCATTAAAATTGGCCTTAGTAAGTCTCTAAAGTGGTCAATAAGCATCTAAAGGAAATGTAAAGAGTTGGCTGTGTATGAAAGTGTGTGAGGCAGCGAGGTTCAAAAGATGAAACGGATGAACAGAACAATGTAATATGATAGTTAAAATGAAAACACAATTTCAAAATGTCACGGCCACCAACTTTCAAAGGCAGAACCTGGATTTTCATACCTCCCTTTTAAAATCCCATTATCTCACTGTACCTTTTATCACCTGTATGTAACAGAGCCTAAATTATTTTTTAAATATTCATTAAATCAGTACTATTGAATATACTTATCGGTAAATTGATTACTGGTTGTTTCCAGTAATCAATGACATAAAGAGTTTGAGCCAGAACATAAATCAATTCATTACTTCCTTAGAAAAAGTCTTTGCTACTAAAAAAAACTAAAAGTCAACTGAATTCATCAGGTGCACTTAGCGGTGGTGATTATTGGTGCAGTTGTTACATTCCGTCACAGCCTCAGAGAGGACGTTCCTAAACACCCAGTCTAAACTGGACCTCCTGGGTTGTTTACTCTCTCTGACTTTCTCTGTTTCATTTTTTGTCAGTACATAGCATTCCCTGAAATCATCCTTTTATATGTCTAATTCTTTATTATCAAAATTCCTCCAAACTTCATGAAGAACATAAGATCTAATTTGCTTTTTATCCCATTATTTTTCCAGTCCCTAAAAACGTACTTGGTTGCCACAAATAAATATTTGAATAAATAATGAATGTGTGACTCAGTGAAGGAATGTTTGGTTTTATTAAAGCTCTTATTATCATATGTTAAACATTGGTAGCCACAAACCAACTTTCAAAGGCAGAATTTGTACTGTTATGCCCCCCTTTTAAATAAATATTTAAATATTTAATTTACATTACCAATTACTTTCTGTAGGATTAACCACCATGCTGAACTTAATTGCTGTTTAGGCAATTGTGTAAATATTTTATTATATTATGGGTTCATTATTTTATTTAGAGATGAGCACAAATTAAAAATTTTGAAGGTTTTTGATACATTGAAAGATGGGACAAAGATAAAAAACTATATGACATGTCATTAGCCTAAATCAATGATTTTCAACCTTTTTTAATCTCATGGCACACATAAACTAATTATTAAAGTTCTGCAGCATACCAAAAATATATTTGTGCCAATCTGACAGAAATAAATGGATATAATTTGGATTCATTCACACGAGACAGCTACTGCTGTGTTGGCTGTGTTATTATTTTTTCTGACAGTCTAAGGGAAAAGAGGTCAGTGCCTCTGACTAAGTAGTCAGGTACTGCATAATTTAAAAATTCTTGCAGCACACCAGTTGAAATCACTAGCCTAAGTGGTCATTTAATTTAAACCAGATGACTATTTAAAAATGAAGAAAAAGCCAAATTTTGATAATATGTATAAAATATCATAATCTATTATATAGAGAGAGCATGGAGAAATTAATGCTTTTATAATATTTTATCTCCTTCTGAGAGTTATTTTTATTTAGTTCATTTTAATATTCATATATATTTTAATAATATAATACATTAAAAAATGGAAGACTGCCTATAACTAGGATTTTATCTTATTAGTGAATATTTAGCCACTTTCTTCTATACAGTACACGTAACACCATCCTCATCTTGCTTTTGACCCCTCAGCTTATCACTAAACACTTGACAGACACACAAAAGCAGCTGAAAGAAAGGAGCTGGACAATGAAATAGCAAAGGATGCTATGGTTATACAATCTAGCTTTCTAAAAGGTATATATACATTCCATAAAATACAAAAATAAAAATACCAATATTTGCTATATCCAGAAGAAATCTGATCCATCCAAAACTTTGTATTTGATAACTAGTAGTACATTTTTAAAAAAAATACTTTGAATGTAAATATTTGGCAAAACTTTGAAATGTAAGCATACCTTCTATAATAGGCTCATATTTTTCAATGATCTCAGAGACAATACTTCTATTCATGTTAAACATATACTGTTCTTGTGTCAAAAAGGCAACCAGATTTTTTTCATAAAGAAATTTCCGGTCTTCAGAATACGTGTTGAAAATCTCAATAATTTCTTCTCTGTGTGCAATAACTCGATAAATTGATCTAAATTCTTCTATGGTGATTCTTCCTTGCTTCAGCCTGTCGTTATCCTACTAAAAAAGAAAATCACTAGTGGGCTTACATTGTGAATATAAAAAATACACAAATGGGATAAATTATAAGTATTTGTGTAATATATATGCAGCAACTTATCCTTGAAAGAAGATGAATTTTACATAGGATTATTATCTCAGATAAAATATTTAAAACTGCAGGAAGTAATGCCAAAGTTGGAAAAAGGTTAGTGGATCATCATCACTTAAAACCTAGTGGCTGCCCTGGCTGGTGTGGCTCAGTGGATTGAGTGCCAGCCTGTGAAACTAAGAGTCATCAGTTCAATTCCCAGTCAGAGCACATGCCTAGGTTACAGGCCAGCTTCCCAGTTGGAGTCGTGTGAGAGGCAACCACACATTGATGTGTCTCTCCCTCTCTTTCTCCTTCCCTTCCCCTCTCTTTAAAAATAAATAAATAAAATCTTAAAAAAAAACAAAACCTAGTGGCCATCGTCGGAGTGGAATAATGTTTGGGAAAAGATAAGTATCGTAATCTGTTTTTGGATTGCACATTTGCTTTTTCTATTCCACTCCATTTTAGTGCCTTCTTAAGCCATGATAGACAGTATGCAATTCCATGCTAAGAATATGCAGCCTGCACCATAAATGTCAGAGGAAGTCAGAGCCATTCAAAATCACAGTAAACTGCAGAAGCTGTAGTAGTTAGGTAATATCTTAAGGAAGTAAAATTTGCATAATCACTGAGGGATTTGAAGCAATGACAAACAAGGTAGATTCCAATTAAAAAAAAAAAAAAAGATTCCCCTGGCTGTTCTGGAAATTTCATGTTTAAACTTTATGTGATAAAAGACAAGAAATTGGGCTGGATTCAGCTATTAACAGCAACAGAAATACTTTGAGGTTCTTAGTAAGAAATGACTAGTAAAAGCAGAAGTTGAGTATTACCAGTTATGTGTGACCAATTGAAAGAGATGGAGAATGGCATGTAAGGAAACAGAGAGAAGACAATCCAGGAGGGAGGGGGCGAGTAGAAACCAAAGAACAGGTGTAGTGAAATTATCATTTCATTATCTTACTCATGATCTATCTTTTAGGTAATAATAGCTGGTAATTTAACATACATTTGTCCACCCCTGTGTGTTCTCTACTCAAAGTTTATAATACAAACTCACATTGTGAGGAAATAAATTCATGTCGGAATTTGTATCAACTACTTAGGAAATCAATAAATGTAATACAATTTTCTATATTTTTGGAACAATCATGAGGGGTGTACCTTTAACTAATTCACTGAGTACCTACTTTTTTCCAAGCCTGTTGCTAGGTACATTCACAAATAATATCATTTAATACTCTGAACAATCCTGCAAAATAACTATATTAGTATCCCCATTCTGTGGATTAAGACATATGCTCAGAGAGAGTGCTGACTTGCCAAGTACCACACAGTTAGGATCTAACAGAGTGAAAACTCTCCACACCCACTTGGCTTGCCGATAACAACGGCCTTGAGACATTGGAAGATTTGGGTCACCGAAATAAGACTCATTATGACTTACTTTATTTACTCTGGCTAAAAGGTGTACCCATAAAGTGGGGAAAGATTAGCAACAAAAATTGAAGCAGAAGAGTGGGAGATTTACACAGCTGAATCAACAACTATCCAGAAAATTCAATTAGCCAATACACCTTCCTTAAGCATTCTATTTAATCAACATTTTAATAAATCTGTGGCAGTTTAGCTTAAAGTAACAAGCCTTATTTATTAGCGGGCATAGGGGAATTATTTTAACCCGAAGGGAGGGGGATAACGGGAAAGAACGGTCAAGGAACATGCATGAATGACCCAGACACCTGGACAATGGGGTGGGGACTGGCTGTGGGGAGAGCAGGGGAGAATAATGGGGGGAAAACGGGAGCAGCTGTAATTGAACAACAACAAAAAAAGAATGGTTTGTCATAGTCATAAACCTCGTTTATATGTAGTTTATGCTTCTAAAGTATTTAGAGTCAGTTTAAAGAGATTTTTTTAAGTATCTTAGGCAATCTCTCCCTCTCTCATTTTTATAATTAACATTGTTTTCATAGCCACTTCAAAAAGGTTTTACTAAACAAAATAGACCTTTAGCCTTGCTGTGTCTGAATAATCATAACTTTTCATTAGTGAGTTATTTCTTTACTTGCTGTAACTGTTGGGCATTCTACATAATGCTTTTGAATATGGCATGCATTTCACTCAAGTGCATTTCAAATTGATATCTCTATCTGGCAGATAATTGAAAGCAACCTGATAATCACTGAATAAGACTTACAGTATTTCACATTTGATAGAAATTTAATTACTACGTCTAGATTGCGTTGAATGTGCAGCTTATTAAAATGTGCAGCTTATTAAACCTGAAAGCATGTAGCTGTTTCTCCCTTTGGACAATACCACTGAGGGAAATTTCTATACGTAAAGATCTTTCACAAAAGCTTAAGTTCTTCAGATGCATTATCAGACATGAATAGATTAAAATTCTGATAGCTCCTTGCAGCACAAATTACATGGATTTGTTGTAATAACTCTGAAACTTTTGTCTTTTACTGCAGCCTACTGAAGTGCAGCTTCTCCATTTTGAACCTCCCACTTATGGTCTGTAAATATGGGGGCTACATCTCAGTGAGACAAGCGCTGGGTGGGAGGCAGTTCTCCAGCGGTCTTGGGTTTCCTCACTTTCCTGAGCAGAGGCACCAATATCCTTTCCCAAGGACTAGCTTTTCAAGGATGTTTACGTAATGAAGAGATAGTATCTCTCTCCAGAGGAGTTGTTTTGTTTACTATCCACAGTGATAATGCTAATGACACCCTTCAGGCCAAGGTCAGACAGGCTTACTGCCCCTAATAAAAATTCTGGGTCCCCTAAGCTTGAGGTTGCTCTCTAGTAATGCAACCCTTTGTATTCATTATACAGGTCACCTGGCCCAACTCACATCACACTTTGGGAACTGGCACTTATAAAAATGGCACCCAAATCCTGACACTCTGGCAATTGCTATGTTTGTGAGTAACAAGTATCTTTTTCCTCTGAACAGGAAGCCCGCCTCTGCCGGAATCTGTGAAACTATACCTTAGCTTGCAAGGAAGGTAACACAAACTTCCTAGCTTGTGCGTGATAACAACTTCAACATAGGTTGTGTTATCAGGCTGCCTACTTCCAAAAATCAAAATCAAGATTTCTAACTAGACCACATCGGCCAGTCTAGTAGTCTTGTCTGATTCACCAAGAAATTTGCCAGTGGCAAAATTTACAAAGCTCAGCTCAACAGGACTTATTTTATGATCTTTCCCTCTGTCCTCTCATCAGCGGTCCTCTCCTGGCAGAAGTGAGCCAGGCCCCTTTCCACTAGATCTTCTCTAAACAGAGAGAACTTTTGGCATGATTTTCTTCTTTGAAGTGAGTAAAATACAATTTTTCTCAAGATTACCCATTTTTCTATGAATCACTGACATTCAATTTATCATTTTATCATGTATATGATTTTAATCTAATCATATGACTGATCCTAATCTAATGTGAACATTCCTGTATACTCAGCAGATTGTTCTAACCTGATAACCTGGTATTATTTCAAATTTTACAGACACCTTGTTTTATCTTCTTACGTAAATTCTATCTTGATTATAAATAAGTTTAGCCTAATCTATTGCTTTACGTCTTAAGACAGGAATTTTTCATATGTATTTTCTGCATAAAGCATCCAAGCAGCTATCAATATTTGGTTATACCAGGTTAAGTTCTTTCTAGAGGAGGGTAGGCAGGAGGAGGATAGCATCTCACCTTAAAAACCTGTTTCACATGAATATGATTACATGGAATATTTAATTTTTCAAGTAACTTCAGAGTTCTTGGTAGGTTAATTTTTCCACCTCTAAAGTCATCTCGAATCATCGACAGAAACCACGTATGAAACACAGAAAATGACGTTAAGGAAATTCTCACAGAAAGTCATCAAGTACTTAAAATGCCTAAAGAAATAATTGTTTGCTCTTCAGTTTATTTTTATTTTTAAAGGATAGTCTACCTACCTTGGGCTTAAATGACAGGGTAATTCTATGATAAATAACATTTAAAACAAAACTAAGTAGGTACTATTCTGTAGTAAAGGTATGAAAGGGCATGACACAATGAAAATGATAGGGAAATAAAAAGAAACATTTATGAAATCAAGTTACTACTTGGGAAATTCAGCCAATTGCCTGAAGAAATGGACTTTGGAGACAGCTGGACTTCGAGCTATCCCTATCTCCCAACCTCCTTCCGCTCCAGCTTCCTCATCTGAGAAGTGGTCACATTAATACTTACGGAAGGTGAGGACATTACCTGAGTTCATAATCATCACTGAACACGGTTTCTGCTACTGAGTGTTCAATAAATGGTAGCCATATCTGGTAGGGTTACTTCGTTAGCCAATATCCAGCTACATACATGCCCGAAAAGCAACATTTTAAGTAGCATCGAAAAGGGTTTAAAATGCCATAATGACCATATATTTAGAATCAAAGAGGAAAATAAAACAATCACAATTACTAATTATTTACAGATATACAAAAACTAGACCACTTCAAATTAAGAAGCTAAGGTTGAAAAGAACAGGACAGTCTAAAACCCTGAAAGGTGGTTAAGACTGTTCAATGGGCCACTCAATTTCAGATTGTCAGAATTCATGAGAAGCCTTTACATTTAATGGCTAAAACTTACTTACTGTGGTAAAGCTCGTGTTCTTATAAGGAAAAAATACAAGAAGCTAGGGAAACTCAGAAAAGCTCAGGGCGCATATGGAAGGAATAAGACTATCCGTAAATGAGAGGGATTTGCTTACATTCAGGAGTC